ATTGCCCTGGGAAAAAGCATGGCGGAAGCGGTTGTCGCTCAGCGACACTTGTGGCTCACTCTCGCCGAGCTGCCAGAAAGCCAGCGCTCCGTTTTTCTCCAGCAGGCCGTCGAACCCACAGGACTGTTTGGAGAAGCTTTGGAAAAGATCCAGAACCGCTGCGATCAAAGAAGGAAGCGGGAGGAGGCTCTGGAGCTGGGCATGCCGAGACGTCATCACTCCCAGCCCAGGGACCCCAGTGGCCACAGGAGCGTGCCTCCGCGACCACAGGAGCGCGCCTCCGCGACAACGTTCTCTTCCTCATCGCCCCGCACATAAGAGACCTTCACTGGAGACCGAACCGCGGGGGACGTTCCCTGCTGATCAGCGAGGACGTCCACCACCTGGACAACCAGCATGGTCCAAACACCGTTTTGTCCCGAGCCAAACGAAGGCGTCAAAATCTTCATCAGCAGTGAGGGAGAGGAAACAGCAGTCAGCCTAGCTCTGCAGCTGTTTTCAGAACAATCAGAGCCTCTCCACCCACAGGGAAAACGGAGAGCCTCTCAGATTCAGTCTGCAACGAAGTTCAAAAAACCCCGATTAAGTGGATAAAAATGTTTAGGGACTCATATTTGTCATCCCTCTGTTTGTGCAATGAAGAAAAAATGTAATCAAGCACCAACATTATTAAAAGCACGTTGTGTTCACACTGTTTTGTCTCAAGATTCAGAAATAAAGGGCGATGTTGTCCCTTTTTTCACAAACCAAACTTCAAACATAAAGGAGACGGAGCTCCGGCAGACGGAGTTAAACTCTCCTCCTCGCTTAAATCTGTGTCCAGCAGAGGGCGTAGCGAGCCCACAAACGAACATGCCGTTCAGGCTCTCTTCAAACGGGAGAGCATGGCGCGCATGCGCACCATCGCAATGGATCATGGGAACTGTAGTCCGAGGTTACAATTTGCAATTCAGCAAGCCTCCTCTACCGTTCAGAGGGACTGTAATGTCAAAAATACAGCCAGATCTTGCTCCAACCCTGAAAAAGGAGATTTGTTCACTCCTAGAAAAAGGGGCAATAAGAATTGTTCCCCCTCAGGACACAAACAGCAGTTTTTACAGTTGCTATTTTGTAATTCCGAAAAAGGACAAGGGTCTCCGTCCAATATTGGATCTGAGACAGTTAAACAGGAGACTGAGATCATTCAAGTTCAGAATGCTGACTCTGCGCCAAGTAATGCAATCTGTGCATCCAGGGGATTGGTTCACGTCAGTCGATTTAAAAGACGCTTACTTTCACATATCAATCCTACCAAAACAGAAAGTTTCTGCGTTTTACATTCGAGAATACGGCGTACGAATATCAGGTCCTGCCGTTCGGACTGTCTCTGGCTCCTCGAGTATTTACAAAATGCCTCGAGGCAGCATTGACACCGATCAGGAGTCAAGGAGTCCGAACACTAGACTACCTGGATGATTTATTAATTTTAGCGGACTCACCCTATCAAGCCAGAGCTCACACACCTCTGCTGATGTCACACCTGCAGTCTCTGGGTTTTGTGATAAACAGAGAAAAAAGTCAGCTGGTCCCCAGTCAGAAGATCTGTTATCTGGGTCTCGAGCTGGATTCTGTAAGAAATTATGCACGGTTATCCCAGCGGAGGATAACAGCATTCCATCAGTGTTTAGCTCTTTTTCAGCGCGATCATGTGTTAACGATCAAGCACTGCCAGCGCCTCTTAGGATTTATGGCCTCTATGATATCAGCAGTCCCGCTCGGTCTGTTACAGATGAGGAGGTTTCAACGCTGGGTCCACATGAAACAGAACCAAGCCCCCCCGCAGCAAAATCGGGTGATGATCTCTCCATCCTGCCTGCGGGCACTCATGCCTTGGAGAAACACAGCATTTCTCAACAGAGGGGTTCCCCTGGGTCGGGTTTTATCTCATGTGTTAGTCACGACAGACGCATCAAAGTTCGGCTGGGGAGGAATATGCAAAAACAGACACACCAGCGGTGTTTGGTCTCAGAAACAGAGCCAATTACATATAAATCAGTTGGAGATGATGGCAGTTTTTCTCTCTTTAAAACATTTCAGCAAAATGGGGCTGATTTCACATCAACATGTGTTGGTGCACAGCGACAACAGCTGTGTAGTCGCTCACATAAACAGACAAGGAGGCACACGTTCACTGCCCCTCCGCCTGACATACAAGCTGTTACTATGGTGCAGCACACGTCTGTTGTCTCTCAGAGCAACTCACGTCCCGGGAGTGCTGAATCACGGAGCGGACGCACTCTCCAGAGGTGTCCCACTGGCGAGAGAATGGCGCCTTCACCCAGAGGTGGTGCAACAGATTTGGGATCGCTTCGGCACGGCCGACGTAGATCTGTTCGCCTCCAGGGAAAACGCGCACTGTCCTATGTTTTTCTCCATACGGGACGCGAGCGCGCCTCTTGGAGCAGACGCGCTGGCGCACAGCTGGCCAGCAAAACGCCTTTACGCATTTCAACCGGTGGCGCTAATACAGCCCACTCTGGACCGCGTGCGCAAAGAGGCTCTCACTCTGATCTTAGTAGCTCCCAGATGGACCAAGAAAGTCTGGTTTGCAGAAATAATGTCACTGCTGGAAGGAGAACCATGGCACCTTCCTGTGCGCAAAGATCTCTTAACTCAGGCTCACGGCCAAATTTGGCATCCCCACCCAGAAATCTGGAACCTGTGGGTCTGGCCCCTGAGAGGGAGAAATTAATAGCCTCTGGTCTTACTAGTAATGTGGTGGACACTATCCAATGTGCTAGAGCAGGCTCCACACAGACCTTATACACACTTAAATGGCGTATTTTCGATGCCTGGTGTCAGGAGAGAAACATTGTTTCTTTCCTCTGCACCATAACAGATGTTCTCACATTCTTACAGGACTTGTTAGAGAAAGGTCGCTCTTTTTCTACAATCAAAGTCTATTTATCTGCTATTTCTGCTTGTCATAATGGATGGGAAGGAAAATCACCTGGCTCCCATCCTCTCGTGGTTCGGTTCTTGAAAGGGGCGCTGCGTAAAAGGCCACCGCGCAGAACACTGGCACCA